GAAAATTCTGAGGATTGATGGTGGAGAGTTTATGTCGAAAGAGTTCGATGCATTATGTGAAAAAGAAGGGATTGTGCATGAGGTGGTGCCACCCTACACTCCACAACAAAATGGAATTACAGAAAGAAAGAATAGAACCATCATGAACATGGTGAGAAGTATGTTGAACGAAAAGCATCTACCCAAAGAATTATGGGGTAAAGCGGTTTCAACATCAACATACATATTAAACAGATGTCCGATGAAGAAGCTTGAAGGAACCACATCAGAAGAATGCCAGTCTGGTGTCAAGCCTAGCCTCAATCACTTGGAGGTGTGAGATCTATAACACATAGACATGTGCCAGATCAGTTAAGAAGGAAGCTTGATGACAAGTCAAATCAGATGATCTTGATAGGATATCATTTGACTGGAGGTTACAAGTTGTTCGACCCAGTGAATAAGCAAGTAGTGATTAGCAAGGGCGTGATCATATATGAGCTTAAAGAATGAGATTAGACAAGAAAGATTCAGTAAGAATATCTTGTGAAGAACCAACCACTGAAGTCGAAAAAGAAGTTGGACAGGAACAAGTCAGAGATGAAACATGCCTAAGTAGACCTTGACGAATAAGACACATTCCTGCAAGGTTGCAAGAATGTGTGATTACATTAGATGATATGGTCGATGAAGAGGGTGAGCTAGTACATTATGCTTTCTACGCAGATGTCGAACTAGTCAATGCAGGTGAGACATTGAAAGATTCGAAGTGGGTGAAGAAATGAATGAGGAACTAGAGTCTATCAAAGTCAACAACACTTGGTCACTTATCGAATTACCTCAAGGAAAAAAGGCAATTGATGTGAAATGGGTTTACAAGGTAAAGGTGAATCCTAAAGGAGAGGTAACTCGACACAAGGCGAGACTTGTGGATAAAGGATTTCTACAGAAGGAAGAAATCGACATCGACGAAGTGTTTGCACCTGTTGCTAGGTGTTAGATGCCAAATTTCACTTATTTGATCTATCAAACATTGGCATCTTTCACTCATTTTCATCAATTAAGTGTTGAAAACCACTCTTGTTTTGGTTGGTTTGCAACATTATGAGAAAATCTCTTGGTACCTTTGATTTGTGTGTGATTGTGCAGGAATTAGGCACAAAACAAGTGAAAAGTAAGACACAAGAAATGGGCAAGGAAACCAAGGCAACATGTAAAACCACCAAAATACTGTCACGCTCGCTAGGCCAGGAGGTAGCGAACGTGCCAGCGAGCATTTGCTAGCTTGCTCGCTAGGCGAGCGTGCCAGCGAGCGTTCTCTAGCTTGCTCGCTAGGCGAGCGTGCCAGCGAGCGTTCGCTAGCTTGCTCGCTAGGCGACCAGGCCAACGAACGCGCCCAGAATTGGACAGTGCCAAAAGTACCAAAAGTGCTAGGTTCGCTAGCTGTTCGCTAGGCGAACAAGACAGATCTTGAATGTGTATTTAAGTGATTTTCTTGCTTTTTTAGGTCATAACTTCATTTTGTAACATTTTGGATAGCAAAACTTATCTTTCTTCATTTCTTCTAGAGAGAGAAACATAAAACCCTACGAGGGAGGAGGTAAGATCCTTGATCTCTTGTTGGGGTTTGGATGTAATATTTTGATACCTTATGTATTTCATCTAATTTATGTTTGTGAACTAGTTTGGATTCTCTATTGATTGACTATCTTTGATTATGTATTTGTGGGTCTTGACAAAACCTTTTCACATCTTTGATCTCAGATCTTCTTCTAGCATGGGTAGGATCAACATGATATTGTGTGAGTATGTGATAATAGTGATGAAGAACGATGTTCACCGACATTTGGCGTATTAGATGAATACATGTAAAAAGGGTTAAGCGTGTGTATGTATTCTGATCATTGTATTTTATGCAAAATAATCGTTTATCCTATATGGGTGTTATCTTTGCTTTCCTGTTTATCTTTGATTTGAACCGTGATAGAGATATACTCTTCAGATCTGGATCTAGGATGATTGCCTGTTAGGTCCTAAATTCTAGAGATAGGTTTAAGTTTAGCATTTGCGTGAGTATCAAATCTTAATGCTCTATGTTGTGTTTTTGTTGGGTGAGAGATCACAAATGAGACAATATGGTTTTTCTCTCGACGCCGCGTTAGAGATAAGCTTTGTCGTGAGTGATACATGATGATATTAAACGAATGATTGCGTTGTGTTTAATTTAATCAGAAGAATGCATGTGTTATCAATTGATGAAATCCAATCCCAACAAGGCTTCGTTTATATTTCAGTCTTTATTTTATATTTTCTATTTTTATCTATGGTTATTTGAACCTTTTAAACCAAACCTTTTGAAATTAAGCTTAGAAATGTAGAAATCATTGAACGGCGTTCATATCGCACTAATCCCTGTGGAGACGACAAAACTGGGTACTTAATATTTTTTGCTTGCTGCTTTACCGCGTCAACACTAAGATCGAAAGAATCAGGTTGGTTGTTGGTCTAGCAAATATGAATAATTGACACACATGTCAGATGGACGTGAAGTGTGCATTCCTTAATGGACTCTTAGATGAAGAAGTTTATGTCGCATAACCAGTTGGGTTTTTGAAACAAGGCAAAGAAAGAAAGGTGTACATGCTGCATAAAGCCGTGTATGAACTTAAGCAAACTCCAAGAGCTTGGAATAAGAAGATCGACAACTTTCTAAGGGAGAAGGAATTTGTGAAGTTCACAACGTATCATGGAGTATATGTAAGGAGAAGCAATAATGAATTGCTTATACTATGTATCTATGTCGATGACCTATTTATAACTAGAAGTTGCAAAAAGGAGATCGAAGATTTCAAACATGACCTACGTGAGGAGTTTGAAATTTCAGACTTGGGAAATCTCTCATATTTTCTTAGCATCGAATTCTGCAAGAGTAGTAGAGATTTGATGATGCACCAAAGAAGATATACAGGAGAAGTACTCAAAAGATTTGAGATGCAAGATTGCAACTCAACTTTGACTCCAGCTGAGACCAGATTGCAATTGTCGAAAGATTCAGATGAAGATGATGTCGGTCCAATCCAATATAGAAGACTTATTGGGTCACTTAGATACCTTTATCATATAAGGCTTGACTTAGCATACAGTGTGGGTACGACATTTTATTTTCTACAGCTGATGAAAGAGAAGAATGCAAGCTAGTGGGATACACTGACTCAAGTTGGTGTAGTGATGCCGAGGATAGAAAATCCACAGTTGGCTATGTGTTTATGATAGGTGGTGCACCAGTTGCTTGGAGTTCGAGAAAGGAGCCAGTAGTGGCATTGTCATCATGTGAAGCAGAATATATAGCTCCTTATCTTTGTGCATGTCAAGCAACCTGGATGTTGAACCTGGTCGAAGAGATCACAACGAAGAGTCACAGAACAATTACCATGAAGATCGACAAAGTGTCAACTATCAACCTATATAAAAATCTAATAGCATATGGTCGAAGCAAGCACATCAAAATGATGTTCCATTATCTTCGTGAGCAGGTAGCAGAAGGGAGGATGAACTTGTAATACTGCAGAATTGAGAATCAGATTGCAGACATCATGACGAAGGAAGTGTCAGTCGAAGTGTTCAAGAAGTTAAGGTTTATGATGAATGTGGATAGTTTAGACACAATATGAATTAGGTGGTGTGTTAAATATGTAATTAATTGTTTTAGAAATATTAGACTTGATTTAGAAAGATCAGATTTAAAGATTAAATTATATATTTTTGGGCTTTTATAGTTTGGGCTTTAGCTTGAGATGGAAGTTAACCTAAATCTATAAATAGGGAGGAACCCTTTTCATTGTAATAATCAAGTTTGATAATCACAGTTTTGAAGTTGCAAAGTGATAATAAAATTCCGCAGTTGTGGGCAGAGAGTTACTCTGCAGTTCAAGCTCATCTTCTTTAAATGTGTTCTTGTTTTTGTTCATTGTCATTACATAAGAATTTTGAGATCAAGATTGAGAAGAATTCACCATAGATCGTGGTTGAGTATGTGGTGTGTCTCTCACAAAGATGTTTCTATAGAAAAGGAAAATCCCACAATGTTCAATGCTCCCTAGTTGAAGAACTCCTCTAACAGTGGTATCATGAGCCTTTGGTTCGAGTGAAGGACTGACTCACTTGTATCAAAAGTATTCCTCACAGGTGGTGGTTAGGAGGTGTTCCGTTGAAGAGGTTCAATAGCGGTACAAGGGTGGTGAGCAAGAAACACACATCAGAAAATGCAGTTGCACAGTTGAAGCTTCCGCTTAAGGGGGGTCATTGTGGAAGTATAGTGGATAGACTCACACTTGAGGGGGAGTGTTAAGTATAACAAGTGTGAGTAGTATGGGTAATAGTCCCACATTGGATAGGAATGTGGTGACTTGAACATTTATAAGTGGGAGAACCTACACACCTACCACCTTAAAGTTTTTGGTAAATATATGGTGTGTCTCTCAGAAAAGTGTTACTCTAAAAAGAAAGTTCTACAATGTTCAATGCCCCCTAATATTCGAGATGCACACAACTCTCACAATCCTCAAAACATGAGGCTAAAGAAATGAATATAAGATAGTGTTACCAAACTATATTTGTACAATAATTGATTGCCTAACTTTTTATGGAACATATTCCTAATTTCAATATGCCTCAAAAAAGTTCTGAAAGTGACAAAGGAAACATCATTATTATTTCAAAGCAGCTATAAAATATATATACATGGAAGAATTTTCAAAGTTCTTGGTCCCCAAGTAATTGGACTAACATTGTACCTTCCTAATTTTTGTATTATTATTTCATAATATATGATGACACTATAAATAGACCAAGTTATCAATTACATGAATTAAACCATAATAACAACAGCCAAACCATTTCATCTTAGCTTTGCACACGTTGACAAAATAAATCTCACTTCAATTTCAAGTCACACCTGATCAATCTTGGTTTCATAGCTCCATTGGCTTGGCTTCATATAGTGGAAATTTTATAAATTTTTTATGGCTTTGATTTTATCCTTCTTCAACTGCTTTGGCACATCTTCAAACTCATCATTTCAAGTTTCTGATTATGCAGAAAAACCATCTCAATCTAAAAGTTCATTTTCAGAGAAATCAGAGAAGAAGAAAAAGTTAATTAAGGGAGCTCCAATTGTAGTTTATCATTTCCCTGTTAACTCATATCTCTCACGTTTGTAATTATGCAGTATTAATCTTCATCAGCTTCTTATCAAGACTGTAGGAATCAACTTATTTATTTATTTACCGATTTCTATAATTGATTTCCTTTTATTGGTCATTTTTACATGATTCACAATAATATAGGGTGTTCAATTCATTCCACAAAAAAATTATAGAGTCACAAAATTTATACCTGAACTTTTAACAAATGATAGTATATTTAAATTTTATAGACGTAACAACAGCGTGCCTATATCATAATGCAGCACGATTAAACTTTTAAAGACTAAAGCGGCACAATTCAAACATTCTGCTAGAATTACATAACCAATTATCTAGTCGTTTTCTTTCTACATGTTTAGCGGTGCGATCCAAAATTTATGCTAAGTAATAGTTGTTAAAAAACTAACTGTAAATTAAATAGATCAAAGACAGAATCATGAACAAATAATTTTTCTTATAGTATTTTAAGTATTTTTAAATTGTCTTAATGTCAACGTGTATAAATATTAAGAATAATGTAGTCTATTTCGAATTTGCATAAGAGTGATGAAAACTCGAATGTATGGAAGGTGAGATTTAAAATTTATAGTGAAGAAAGATAGTGTAGTGAAACAGTTGTCGAGTTACAGTCACAAATTCTATTGTATAGTTTGGGTTAGAGAAAATTGATGGAAGAATTTTGATGTGTGAAAAGTTCAAGTCAAAGATATGTTGATACAATCAAAGATTACACAAGGTGCAAAATTATGTCAGTGGTTGAAGAACTTCCTGCCAAATGGGAAGTTGCACCATAAAGTTTTAACTTGATTTTTGACATGTAAAATTTTTGGAGTGGTTTAACTTCAAGTGAAATTTATTCTTCATCATAAAATATATGATTGTCGGCGATGACATTGTGAAATTCTTGAAGTGGTTTATCTTCAAGTGAAATATATATTTCATGAGAGAGTATGATAGTTTTTAAAACTATGATTGTCGGTGAAGACAATATGAAAATTCTTGGAGTGGAGTGATGTAGCTTCAAGTGACTATACTCTTTATGTTGCAGTATGATTGTCGGTGAAGACAATGAAATTTTATGTATTATTTTCAATCAAGGTGGAGATTGTTGGAGTTGATTAAAAATATACATGTTGATATTCTTTATGGTGAAGTATGATTGTCGGTGAAGACAATGAAAATATATGTATTATTTTCAATTAAGGTGGAGATTTTTGGAGTTGGTTGAAAATATACATGTTGAACAAATCTCAAATCGCTTAGTTTTGTAAATGAAGAGGAGTCCAAAAGTATATATAAGATACAAATTTTTTGAAGTCCCATCTCGCTTAGTTTTGTGAATGAAGTGTTGGTGCAAGGTGAATAAATGATGATGAAAGGAAATATTCTATTAAGAATGACGGCTACAAAACATGATTAAAAGTTACAATGATTGTCATCCTATTTATAAGCTAAAACTAGGGTTACTAGAATAAGATAAAATACTAAAATACCCTCTAACAAACTTAGGGGCTAAGAAAATAGTATAACTAAATAAATATGAATTACTATTAATATTCTAATACCATCCCTTAATTCATATTCCATCAAAACTTGTAACACCAATTCCATCCCTTAGTCTGAGAAATTGATCAGTCTTGATAGCTTTCGTCAGAACATCTGCCAACTGCTTCTGAGTGCTGCAGTGTACAACTTCTAACACTCTACTCTGAACTTGATGTCTCAGAAAATGATACTTGGTCTCAATATGTTTGCTTCTCCCATGCAACACTGGGTTTCTGGCAAGATTGATTGCAGACTTGTTGTCAATCATCAACTTCAGAGGTTTATCTACTTTAATCTTCAGATCCTGCAACAGATTCAGAATCCACACAGCTTGGCATCCAGTAACAGCACCTGCAATGTATTCAGCTTCACAGGTTGACAACGCCACAACAGGTTGCTTCTTGGAACACCAAGAAATGGAACCTCCCAGAAATTTGAACAAGTACCCAGATGTACTTCTTCTGTCAACTCTGTCTCCACACCAATCAGAGTCTGAATAACTCAGAAGTTCTGACTCATTATTTCCTCCAGAGGGAAATAACACTCCATACTTCAGAGTTCCTTTGATATACCTCAGAATCCTGACAGCAGCTTGGTAATGGGACCACTTAGGTTTACTCATGAACCTACTAACCATCCCAACTGAGTAGCAAATATCAGGTCTGGTATTGCACAGATACCTCAGAGAACCAACCAACTGTTTGAAGGTTGTAGCGTCCACATCCTTTCCTTCAGAGTCTGAATCCAGTTTCTGATTTGTATCAGAAGGTGTGACAACCATCTTACAATTCTTCAGATCAAATCTCTTCAGAAGTTCTAATTCATACTTGAGCTGATGCAAAATGATACCTTTCTCATAATATCTGAACTCCATCCCTAGAAAGTATGTCATTTTGCCTAGATCAGTCATTTCAAATTCATTCATTAGAACCTTCTTGAACTTGGCTATCTCCTGTTCAGAACTTCCAGTCAGCAGTATATCATCAACATATAAACATACCAGAGTCATATTGCCTTCAGAAGTATGCTGAACATAGACACCGTACTCCATCTCACATTTCTGAAAGCCTTGCTTCTTGAAAAATGAATCAATCTTCTGATTCCAAGCTCTGGGCGCTTGTTTCAATCCATATAGAGCTTTGTATAATCTGTACACCATCCCTTCCTGATTCTTTTTCACAAATCCAGGAGGTTGTGACACGTAAACTTCTTCTTCTAATGGACCGTTCAGAAATTCAGATTTTACATCTAAATGCATCAGAGGCCAATTCCTGTTAGCAGCTATTGCAATTACCATTCTGATTGTTTCATGTCTTGCTACAGGTGCAAACACTTCAGAGTAATCCAGCCCAGGTTTTTGTAGAAATCCTCTGGCTACCAACCTTGCTTTATGTTTGCCAATTGAACCATCTGGCTTTAACTTCTGCTTGAAAACCCATCTGACGCTGATGGCTTTCTTGTCTTTTGGAAGTTCTGTCAGCTTCCAAGTCTTGTTTCTCTCTATAGCATCAAGTTCTTCTTTCATGGCCTTCAGCCAGAGCTTCTGCTTAAGAGCCTCTTCTGTACTTATGGGTTCAGAGTCTACTAACATGGCACACTGAATAACTTCTCCTTCAGAGTCTACTTCAGTGTCTTGCAGCATGTCAAATTCTGCAAATCTTCTGGGAACGCTTCTGATTCTTTGTGGTCTCTGAACTTGTTCAGAGTCTTGGGCTTCAGATGATTGACTTTCTCCAGAGCTTTGACCAACTTCAGGATCTGGCATATTTCCAGAGTCTTGAACTTCAGAATTTCTAGCTTCAGAGGCTTGACTTCCTCCAGAGCCTTGGCCATCTTCAGAGTCTGAATTTCCACCAGAATCTGGATTACCATCAGAGTCTGGATCATCAGAGTCACCTTCATCTTCTGAGTTTTCTCCAGAGTCAGAATCACTATCAGAGTCAGAATCAACATCAGAGTTTACTTCAACTTCAGAGATTCTTAACTCTGACCTTTCTTCAGAAGTTCTAACATCAAAATCAGATTGAGACTTATCCCAATTCCAAACTTCTGATTCCTTCACAATCACATCTCTGCTGAATTCAATTTTGTTGGTTTCTGGACAATAGAGCTTGTATGCACCTGTACTGTGGTACCCTATCAGAATCATCACTTTGCTTCTATCATCCAGCTTCTGTCTTCTGGATTCTGGAACATGTTTATAGCAAACAGAACCAAACACCTTCAGATGACTAACACTTTGCTTGTCTCCAGTCCACTTCTGCCTAGGAACTATTTCCTTCAACTTCTTCGTAGGACATCTGTTGAGTACATACGTTGCAGTGGCAACAGCTTCTCCCCAGAGCTTCTGAGGAAGCTTCTTCTCCTTTAGCATGCTTCTCACCATATCAAGCAAAGTACGGTTTCTTCTTTCAGCAAGACCATTGTGTTGAGGGGTATAGGGAGCAGTAACCTCATGCTCAATTCCATTCTCCTCACAGAACTTCTGGAACTCTTTGGAGTTATACTCACCTCCACCATCAGTTCTAAGAATCTTCAACTTCTGACCACTCTGATTCTCAGCCTTCATTCTGAACTTCTTGAATTCATCAAACACCTCATGTTTAAATTTAATAAGGGATACCCATGTCATTCTTGTGAATTCATCAACAAACAACACAAAGTACTTATTCCCTCCAATTGATGCTACTGGAAATGGACCACACACATCAGAATGTACAACTCCCAAGGCATGTTTTGCTCTTGGAGCAACTTCTGACGCAAATGGCAAACGTGGTTGTTTTCCTTCCATGCAAACTTTGCATGACTTCTCAGGCTTCTTAATTGCAGGAATTCCATGTACCAGCTTCTTTGAATTCAGATGTTTTAGGCTTCTGAAATTCAAATGACCAAATCTTCTGTGCCACAACTCACTCTCCTTCTCAGCACATGTTGCACTAAGACATTCTGAGTCTGTAGTTCTGACATTCACCTTGAATGTTCTATTCCTTCCCTGTTCTGACTCCATAATCAACTTCTGATTGTAGTCATACAGCTTTAGAAGATTGTCCTTCATGGTAACTGAAAAACCTTTCTCAATTAATTGTCCCACACTCATCAGATTGCTTCTGATGCCATGTACATACCACACATTCTGAATCAATGCTGTTTTCCCATTGTTCAGAGTCACTCTGACATTTCCCATACCTTCTGCATTAAGATATTTGTCATCAGCACATCTGATCTTTGTCCTCTTTTCAGAGTCAAAGTCAACCAGCCATTTCTTGTTTCCAGTAAGATGATTTGAACAGCCAGTGTCCATATACCACCAGTCTATCAGATCATCAGATTCAGAGGCCATCAATAGCACAGATTCGTCATCAGAACTTCTGGCTATATTTGCTTCTTCTGATTTCTTCTCCTTGTTTGACCAACAATCTCTAGCAAAGTGACCAAACTTCTTACAACAGTAACATTGGATCTTCTTCTTG